ACTGCCTAGGCCTGTGGAAAGGTCTGTAAGACAGTGGCTGGATTCACCAGGGAAGCCTCAAAAAATACTGATACCTGGGTCCCTACTCCAGAGATTTTGACTTACCTGGCCTGGCTATTATAATTTTTTTAAAGTTCCCCACGAGATTCAAAAGTACAGCTGAGATTTAAAGGTTAACACCTGCTCAGTCTAGGAGATTTCTTCTTCCTGCTTACATGGTTTCAGATGAATAATCACTCTCAGCGGCTTCCTGAAGGGGCCACGGTTACTCCTGAAGCCTGTGCCTCTAGAGTTCTAGAACTAAGACCTCAATCATGTGCTCCTCATGAATGTCTACATCCCCAACCCCCATCCCCTCAAGCCACAGGCATGAGACATGCCTCTAGGGTTTCCTTTCGCTCTATAGTTTCCCCTAACTCTTTCAGAAAAGCTCAGCTGAGTTTTTAACAATTTAATCTGATTCTTTCATTAGTTCCTTTCCACATATTGGCCTGGAACTTTTGCTGGAATTTGGTGTCTTCATTTTATTTGCTCTTTGCTTTTTGGCCCAATTTTTAATTTCCTAATTTATTCCTTTACATGTTTTCTTGTGTGAAATATCCAATAATGGGAGAAAGACAAAGATTTCTAAATCCATCAAAAACAGCTATTGTTCAAGCTGTCTTTGTCCTTCTTCTCCTCCAAGTTGAAGAATCTACTCAGAAGACGAGTCTTCCCAAGTCTTGGGCTCCATCTGCCTGTCTCCCCTTTAGTATGTTTTTGTTTTCCTGCACTTTCCCTTAAAAGTTCCAATTTCCTAAATTTCTTCCTTTTGTCTCCTCAGGGCACAGGCCTGCCTACCTAACAACCTTCACCTTGACATTCACCTAATAATGTTTGAGGTGCCCTATACCCAACTTTCCCCTCCCAAATCTGTTCAAATTTTCTGTTATTACTTGATATAACAATTCCAATTTTCAAGTGACAGCATCTATAAAAGCAAGTAGTGCACCAAGATTTCAGGGGGCCAATAAGACAACATTTTTCACTCCCAATTTGGAACTAATTAAGAAATGAGAGACAAATAGAAATTTAAATATTTGCTTCTCTACTGATAACACCAGTTGGAGAACATGACTTTAGCTCTGCAGCCAGTGGTCTTGATAATATGCCACCCAGTCACCAGCACAACTGACCAACAGCAGCTTACCATCTAGTTGACCAGACTGTTATCCCCCATAGGAAAGAGAAAGTACTGAGCCAAGTGTGTTCAGCAACTTTGCTAAAATTTTACCAACATCAAAGTTCTTCTTTCCCTGGTAGCAGAAGTAGTCAAAGGGTCCCTCCTATTAGAAATTCCCTTCCCACTGTAGAAGTACAAAGGAGGGGAGTGCTATCCACAAGCCTTAATGATCTACATGAGAGGGGACTGACAGTCTCTAGTGCTGAACTGCTTATTTCCACAAGAATAATGTATCACCAATTTTATAAGCACTCTCTCAGATCCCTCAGATTTACACACTATAAGCCCATTCTGAATCATCATTTCAGTCAATAAAGCAAGAGAAAATGTGTTCAAGAGCAGTAGCCAGTCTTCTTTCTGGCAAAGTGCCAGCGTTTTCATACGGCCTCAAGGTTAAGTTCTCTTTGATTGATTGTGTTTGTGTGTGTGATCTAATGTGCTTTTAGAATCTCTGTGGGTGGAAGATATGTCCAAAATGCTCAGTTTAAAGAATTAACAGATTTTGAATACTAAACTACATCAGGATGTGATCCCCTTTAATGATTCCACCAAATGTAATAGTAACCAGGTAAGCTAGAATGAAGAATAAGAAAAACTAAGGCGGTCCCCATATGGTAAAATGACAGAAAGTTGATGGGTTTGAAAATAGCAGAAAACTAAATGATCAGTCTAAATCACTTGCTTTTGATTAAACTTGGTAAACCGCAGTAATAATAATGCCACCTCCCAAGAAATACTTGCCATAACTCTAAATTTAAATATAATATTTACAGAGTTATCTTAAAGATAAGGCTGTAAGTTTCAAATTCAAAAGCATCAATTATCTTGGATATTGTTAAGAAGCTACAAGGACCAGGAAGGAATTCAGTTCTACCAATGAGAGCTTCTTCAGAGAACTCACTCACCACAGGATTTGTTTTAAATTCCAAACAACTTCATTTTGCTAAAACTCAATGTCCTTGTGCGAAATAAGATGAAATCACCAGTGACATAAAACAGTAAGTTTATATTGCAATTGGGTTAAACTTTCCTCCAGAACTTAGAACTAGAAGCAAAGCAAAGCAGAAGAAACAGTTCAGTTAATTAGCAAAAATATTTACCCTCAGCAGAGCCACTTGAGAAACACATGTTCCTTAAAATGTGAAAGGATTTCTATTGAAAGTGTTTCAATTGAAATACAATATGCAGGCAACTGTGCCTTAATGACCAAATATCAGACCATATATCACAAAGAAGGAAATTCTACATTCTAAATTCTCTCTCTCATATCATCTGGACATTAAGCAGGCTACAAAAACAGATGCTGATCTTAAAACTAACATTTTCTTAGGCAAGACATTTGGTCAAATCGATTGATTTTTACAGTAATATGTACTGGAGATCATAAATATTACCTTCCTCCTGTTTGGGTTTTGTTTTCTTTTTTTTAAAACAGTATACTTGATCTTTAACACTATTTCCCACCTTTCAGAGAGGGAAAAAAGAAAGGAAATTACATTCAACAGATTACTTCCTCCTTAATAACTCATTCTGACTTGGAAGAATGAACTTGATTAATACAATTAAGGATGAGAGCAATGTAAATATGGAAAAACAGGAAGGAGGATTAAGTCAAGTTAATACAGGATACCAGTCTGGATTTTTTAAATCCCTTATATACCCTGTAAGTAGCATCCCTTAGATGCTATTCTAAGGTTAAACAGTTACTTGAGTCTTTAAACCTTTTTCAAAACATCAGTTTCTAAACAAATTAAAGGAAAAAAGTAAATATTCATTTCACACATATACTAAAATCAGCTGCTCCTGAGTTTGAGTGAAAATGTGATTTTCTAATCCGATTGCTTAGCTTTTAAAGTAATTTTAATGCCATTGAAAGTTCTTGCTTAGATGAACATTCACGAACATTAGAATCCATGACATCAGGAATCACTGACTGCCCAGAAATCTACAGATGAGCATACCCCACAATTAAACAATTCCAATATAAAACATAAAGTAATAAAAAATTAAGTAGCCCAATCCTAAATTCTGCAAATCCACTTCCCATAAAAACAAATGAAAAGCAGTATCTACATAACTGTCATCTTGCACAAACTGATGTCTACTCAGGTCTGCATTTTACTTCATAAAATATCTTCTCTACATTTTCAACTGCCACCAAATTTTGTTTCAAAGATTTCATCTCAGAAAGCGGTATCTTCCACTTAAATTCAAAAACACTTGTTTCTTAATGAACTTGATTAAAATTTCAACACTGGACCTGTCCCTACTTCTCTTCTTCTATATCTAGTTCCTTGATGGGCTGAGAATTTAATGGCGCTAATAAAGATACTGACATTCTTTGAGGCTATATAGATACACACACACACCCCTATGCACATGCACATATATATGTATCCCTATTTTGCTTTTGAATCTTAACACAGCAAGATGGTTTTCAGCAAAGAAAGCTAGTTTTAGCTATGTCAGTAGGTATTCTGATTTGCAATATTTTCTAACTAAACTAGGAAGATAGAAATAAGCTCTTACCATATCCTCATACTTTAACAGTTCAAAAGCCACCCATTCCAAAAATCTTTCTTGCTTCCTGCAGCCAGAAATATCCTTTCTTGCTAAGAATTTTGCATTTTTTTATATCTTACAACACATTCTTGCCTTATAATGTGATTATTTTTGAATGTCTCTTCTCTTTTGATTGGCAAACCCCTAAAAGGGGGGGGGTTGTATTTTCTGTGACTTCTACTCTCCAAGTCTTACTCAGCTAACACATATAAAGTTCAACAAAATATTTGCTGAGTTTCTCTAGCCACTTGACACTCCCTGTCAATCTTCCTCCATGAACCTTTGAGACTCTGTGAAGGTAGAATTTTAAGATAGCAGTTCACTGTTATTTTCCTTACCCACATCAAGCACCTCTTCACTGAGATTAATGAAATCGCCAATGTCTGAAAGAGAATCACCTTCTGACTCATTCCACTTGATTTGAGTTCAGCAAATGAATCGATACCTGAATTGATTGTTGTACACTGCTCTTCAGAACTCCCAGAGATCAAGCTGAGAGAATCAACTCCCAAAAGTAGGCCAGAATCTACCTCCTCTCCCTCTTCTTAAACTTCTCACTCAGTGATGCTCCCACGCTCTCACACCCACCTTGAAGAACTCAAGCTGTCAAATTACTTGCTGCGTACCTAGAGGCGATGGAGACATCTAGTTTGCCAGCGCTCTAGGTCACGGCCCTAATGTTAACTAAGCCTCCAAAGAACTTAAGGGTGGGAGCCTCACTCCCAGGCATTTCTAACCTGTTAGTCGGCCCCAGCCTCATGACTCCCTGCACCACTCTTTTCCCCTTATCCTGCAGGTCCCGTCCTGCGACAGTCCCGTGGTGTTCGCGACAGTTGGGTTAGTTCAAGGACTCGGGGCGGGAGCAGCCACGCTGTGGGCAAAGGCACGGAGAGCTGAAGCGACACTAGAGGGAGGGTCTGCTCAGGGCCCCAAGGACGCGAACAGATCCCAGCGCAGAGGGGGCCCACAGGCGTGAGCGCAGCGGGCTCCAGCCTCTCCCCGCTCCTGGGGCTTGCTTAAGGAGTCGGAAGTGTCTGGGGGCCCAGGGTTTCTGCCCGGGGCTGATGAAGGCCCCGGACGCCGACCCGGGACGCCCCTCAGCGGAGCTCTCCAAGGTGCCGGGGGGGTAACCGCTGAGGCGAAAAGAAGGCACTTCAGGTGCCTGGGCCAGACAGGAGAGGCGAGGAGGGACTGCCTGGCCCCACCGGTCCCTCACCTTCATGGCCGCAACCGGCGCGTCTCGGTCGGCTCTGCCGGGGAGCTCAGCAACATAGCAGCTCCGCGCACAGCCGCCCTCGCTCCTTCTGGGCGGCGATTACGGCACCTCTGAAGGAGACCAAGCGTCCGGACGTAAGAGGCGTAGCCACGCCCGCCGCACGTCCCCCGGAAGAGAGAGTGGCAGCCCAGTCGGCCAATCCGAAGCTGACACTCAGCCGGCGCCGCCGTGTCTACGAAGAAAGACTGTTTCGCTCGGAACAGAGAGGGGCGGGCCTGGGCGTGGCGGCGAGCCCCCGGGGTGTTTTTCCCGGTTGGATCTCTGAAATAGGAGCTGCATTCTCTGAGGAACCTGATCGGGAGTGAATCTGCTGTAGGACGAGGTGATCAAGTTACCCTGGCGGTGAGGTCGGGAAGGGGCGTGGTCAATTTGAAAACGCCGGTTGAATTGAAGGCTTTTGTCAACCGTCAGAGCAGGCAGGGCCTTAGATTTCCTCCATAGACAGACATTCAAGTCTCTCAGACTCGGTGTGGACCTCCGATCTCCTCACACGAGGATCGGCGGAGCAGCTGCTGGTGCGCACGCAAACACGGGGCTTTAAAACAGAAGTTTTTATTGAAAACAGATGAAGAAACAACTGTTCTCAAATTCCAGCTACTCTTTTAAGGAGCGACGTTCAAAATAACCAAGTCCTAGTACAATAAGAGAATTCGGGTGAGCCGTTGGAGTTGACTTCCGAGGTAGTAAGTTAAAGTATCGATTTCTTCAGCCTAATTTGGATGACACTCTGTTTTCCTACACTTCCTCTCCCCGCTAACTGAACCACCATTTAAATATTTGACATGTCAGTTCACATGAGGACCTAAGACTGTTCTATTCCTTTTTAATAGATTTGCTTATATTGTACTATGTCAGAATAATCCAAGCCATACCATTTCCTTAGGCTGAAATAATACTTGTCTTTTAGCTTCTATTTTAGCTTACCTATTTTTCTTGCTTCAGTCACTGCTCAGATAGTGTAACTTAACTTCTTATCCAGTATAGTCGTGGATTTTCTTTGAAAAAAAACGCAAGAAAAGCTTTTCAGTCACCATGTCAGAGTAGCAACTGAGCTTCACTCGAAAAGAACTAATTTACTCTTATAATGATCTAGGGATAAAGAAACTCAATAAAAACTTGCTAATGGTACAATCCTTATTTCTCTCTTGTTAGAAAGGAGCTGGCAGACCTACCTGTTAAAAAGTAAGCACGTGAGAGGGATGCTCAACATCAGCCATCAGGGAACTGCAAATGAGATACCACTTCACACCCACCACAGTGGTTTAAAAAAACAAACAGAAAATAAGAGTTCAGAATGTGGAGAAAGTGGAACATTAATACATTGCTGGTAGAATGTAAAATGGTGCAGCTGCTTTGGAAAATGGTCTGGCAGTTCCTCGTTTAGTTAACTGTAGCTTTGCCATATGAACCAACAATTCCAGGCCTAGGTATAAACCCAAGAGAAGTAACATATGTCCACACAAAAAAAACCTTATACATGAATATTCATTGTAGCATAATCACAATAGCCAAAAAGTGGAAACAACTGAAAATGTCTATCAGTAGATGAATGGATAAACAAAAGGTAGTCTATCCATATGATGGAACATTATTCAGTCATAAAAAGGAATGAAGTACTGAGACGTGTTATATACTGTGGATGAACCTTGAAAGCAATATGCTAGGTGAGAGAACCAACCCAAAAGGTCATACATATATTGTGTGATTCCATTTATATAAGATGTCCAGAATAGGGAAATCCTTAGAGACAGGAAGTAGAGTAGTAGTTGCCAGGGGCTGAAGGGTTTAGAGAGAACTGGAGTGATTGCTAATGGGCACAGAGTTTCTTTTTGGTGTGATGAGAATGTCCTAAAATTGACTGTGGTGATGGTTGCACAACTCTGTAAATACACTAAAAACTATTGTACAATTTAAATGAGTGAGTTGTTTGGTATATGAACTATATCTCAATAAAGCTGTGATAATAACAGTAATAATAATGATATTGAGAAACAACTCACTAGAAAAAAAAGTTAATATAGATGGACAGTAGCCAGAGAAAGGCAATTAAAACTCTCAAGGATAGGGAGAGATTTAAGTATTAGAGACCATTTTAAAACTGCAATTCTTGAGGAAGACTTGTCTTATTCTGTGCCTAGCATAAAGCAAGCTCCTAACAAATGTTTGAGTGAATTCTTTCTTCTGAAAGAAAAATGATACTGAAAAAAAACCATACATGTGTAAATAGGGTACACATGAGTTCACAATCTCTAAATCCTTGGGCTTGAAGTTGGGCTTGAAGCTTGAGAGGCATTTTTTGCTTAAATATCATACTTTTTCAATAAGAGATGCATTATGTGATCAAAAATTTTTTCTTTGTTTCAAACGTTATATAATGACATCTTTCAATTGTATATTAATTGTACCAATTGTGGTTCAGGGAAATGTAATCTGTTTCCTAATGTAATCATAATAGCTTAATACTTTGTTTTCAGAGTCAAAAAGTATTATCAAGATGTGTGAGATAATTTATTACAGCTCAACTACTTGCTTAGGATGTAATGAGCTGTTCTCTGAAGGTTTTCTTTTCACCCCTCAAAAAAAATATCTTACTGATCTCACCATGTTCTGTATATCAACTTCTAAACTTATCTCAAATTCAAGAAGAAAAGTTTCATTATTTAAATTTTTTAAAGTTACTGAGTTATGTCTTTAAACATCATGTGTACTCATAAGACAATAGGGTAGAAAGCTAGCTATTTTTATTCTAGCAATGGACCCTCTCAAAGATAATAAATCAAAGAAGACCACGTGAGCCTTTTGGAAAGTTGGTTAGCAACTTGCTATCCTAAGCCATTTCTAATTTTGGAAAAGTTCAAACATATATGAAGTAAATAGTGAAATGAACTCCCATGTATATATCACCAGTTTTAACAATTCTTTACATTCTGCCATTCTTATCTCCAGCACTTGCATCTTGCCACCCACTCCCCACCTACCCCCATCTGAGTTAAGTTGCATCATTAGATTAGAGCCTGACTGGTTGCCTATATATGAGCCAAATGAGAGTATCTGAGAATTGAATCTGGTTTGTTACGTTGTATTTATCCTTGGTCACCTTCACAAATACACCATTTTACTCAGTTAAGTTGCTCCATCCTCTTTGTGGCCATTTCTTAAATTTCATCATGACTTAAAAGACCAAAGGGATTCTCTAACCTCATTTCACCTGAGTTTGCAAATGCCTAAATTGAAGATAGGTCATAAAATCTACTCACAGGTAGAATGAAAAGGCATCTATGGGGAAGTTGGGGTTCCTCTAGCCAGGATCCTCACTGAACTTAAACCACTTGATGATGTAACTGGCCTGTTGCTAGGCTACTGCTTCCACACCCATAGGCAATAAGAGAGAGTTCGGCCCAGTGCTCTGGGCGGTGGCTGCTCCATCTACAGCTGGGAGAACAAGCCGGGTAATAAACCCTTTCACCCCAAGAACATTCTTCTGTCATTTCCTTGGTCACACTGAATCCATAGTGAACTTGCCTGGGGCTGAAACCCATTGGCAAGACAGGATGTCTTCACTGTAATGCATAAACAAGGTTTTATCTGTATCCCAGCTGTCTGAGTGACTTCTCCAGTAAAAATGGTTTCAACAATGCTTAACTGCACTTTAGAGAACTATGTCTGCATCTGGAGAACAGATGGTTCCACAGAATCATTTGTTTTGGACTTGTAGAATCTTCTTGGAATTCTGCTGGTGAATTACTTTGCCAACTTGAACATATATTCCTCTTCTGCCTTAAGTTTCCCCGTCTGTAAAATGGAGATAATTAACTGGCAGCATATGTCTCACAATTTGCTGAATGGTAGAAGAATCCCAATACTGAAAGTGAAACAAACAGAACTTTAAACAGAGTAAAATAGTAATGCGAAGCCATCTTATATTTCCTTTAAGTAAATTGGAGCACTTTATAGTCTTTCCACCCTCTAACCCACTTAGTTGGCAGAAAGGGGATAAGGTTTTTCTTTTTATGGCTTGGGAAACTGAGCCACAGAAATGAGCTCTCTTGCCTGAAGCTTAGGGAGGCAGTGATGAGAAGTAGAACAGCTGCCAAGCCGTCTGTTCCCCAGCCCAGTGCTATACTCACCTCTATTGCTATTCTTCTAATAAAGAGACGGACCTTGTAAAACAAATTAATGCTTGTACCTTCAGATCTGCATTCATGTATAGCCTCTTTATGGATATTGTAAATATTATACAGTAAGGAGGAAACCATTCACCTACCACTAAAATGGGGAGTCAGTACAATTTTGCACTGGTATTGATATCTCATGTAATTTGATATATGTTAAGCACCCACTATGTGCCAAGCACCAAAAAGAGGGATATAACTCTCTCCTTAAATGGCCATGTAAGGGAAAAATGTCAGAAGTGACATATTGGTTTTCAAGGGTTGCCATATCAAAAAGCTAAAAACCTGGTGGCTTAAAACAACAGAAATGTATTCTCTTGAAGCTTTGAAGGCCAAAAGTCCTAAATTCAGGTTGGTAGGACTGTGCTTCCTCCAAAAGCTCTAGGGAAGAATCCATTCCTGCTTCTTCTAGCCTCTTGTGGCTCCAGGCATTCCTTGGCTGAGTTGCTTCACTCCAGTTTCTGCCTCCTTCATATGGCCTTCTCTGTATCTACTTTTCTTTTTCTTTTTTCCCCTCTAGTTTTATTGAGATATAATTGACATACAACACTGTATTAGTTTTACGTACAACATCTTGTAATAAGAGGACACTGGTCATTGTGGTAGGGGGTGAAATGGGTGAAAATGGTCAAAGATACAAACCTCTAGTTATAAAATAAATGAGTCAGCTAGATGCATTAATGATAGCTCTCAAAAAATATAAACAGATAACACTACAGTACTGTGCAATTTAAAATATGTAAAGGGACTAGAACTAATGTTAAGAGTTCTTATCTAAAAAAAAAAGCATGTGCATGTGCATGCACACACACACACACACACATACAAGAACTAAAGGAACTTTTTGAAGGTGATAGATGATACCTTGGTTCTAGTAATGTTATCACAGATAGTACAGATATGTCCAAGCTCATTAATATGTGTACATTAAATGTACTGAAGTTTTGTATGTCAATTATCTGTAATTAAAACTAAGAAAAAAAGTTTTATTAAAAAAAGAAAATTAAAAAAATATATATATGTATATGTATATAAACAGAACTTCAGGTTTCTGGTCCTGTAGGTAAAGAGCTTGAAAGTGACAATCTTGTCCTACATGAAAAAAACCTGAACAGACGGAAAAAATCAACAACTCTTGGATCCATAAGAGGGGAGGATACAGAGCGCACCACTGCCCCCCAAGTTTGACAGATAGGCGAATGCAAAGAACTGAGACTCACCATAGCAGAGAGGCAGGAGAGGAGATGGTGGGTGGGAACCAGTGCCTCAGCAGGGAACCTGAACTACCAATGGTTCTGAGAGTTAAAGACATGAGGGGGCCCAGTCATTGGGCAGCCCCTATGATACTGTGAGATTTACCTCAAGGAGCTTGACCAGATTCCCGTAGTAAATACTGAAGTAAAATCTCCGGCTTCAAGCAGGGGGAGAGGGGAAAAGGAACCACTTTGAAAAAGGCCAGAGCACTCATTTCATAACAAGACCTGCCCTCAGGGGAAACCAGTTAACTA